TCTGCTGTGACTCCCTCCCATCCCCCCAGCCCAGGCCGCACCTAGAGGCTGGTTTTCACACACGGCCTGCACCCATGACTTCATGAGGCGGTTCAGAATACGCTGCTCGTGGACAGGGAACACCTGCTGGATGATTCCACGGGCTGCCAGCTCAGGGACTGTGGATAGAGGAGCACAGGTGATCCCTGCCCTCCACCAGAGCCCAGCCTGGCTAGCCCCCTTTGTCTGAAGCCCAAGTCACAGCTTTTTGCCTGCTCTTAAACCTCTGAGCTCTTTCCAGGGGAGGAGTTCTAGATGGATAAAAAATCTGATTCTCCTGCAGAATTCGGTAGGTGCTGGTGCAGGCAGGGAGGATGCAAGGGAACCAGGAGGGTGGGGTCCTGGTGAGGAGCCATGTTTTTATTTTTTATTCTATGTATTTATTTGTTTATTTTGAGACAGGGTCTTGGTCTGTCATCCAGGCTGGACAAAGTGCAGTGGCGCTATGGTAGCGCACTGCATCCTCGAACTCCTGGGCTCAAGTCATGCTCCTGCCTCGACCTCCCAAAGTATTGGGATTACAGGCGTGAGCCACCGTGCCCGTTCCCATGTTTTAAATAAAGCTCAGTTTGTGGACCCGAACATCTGATGAATGGTAAAAAGTTGCTGTTGGGAGGTGAACTTGGGTGGCTGGTTTGCTGGTGGGGAAACCAAGGCCCAGAGCCGCACCACGCAGTAAGTGGAGGGCTGTCCATAGTCCCTGCCTCCATCTTATCCCAGACTCAGAAAAGGGCCTCTTCTGTACCCACCTCCCAGAAATGTCTCACCTTTTGGCTAAAGCCACGCCCCCTCAGCTCATTGGTTTCCCAACTTTTCCCAACCCCTAACTGGTTGGACCTAGGCCCCGCCCTCCTTCCCTGATAAGCTGTCCTCTAAGAGCTCCACCCAACTCAGGAGATAGGCTCCACCCTTTCACTAAGACCACACCCTTTAGCTCATTGGTTCCCTAACTCTTTGCCAATCCCTGACTGGTTGGCTTTAGGCCCCGCCCTCCTGCTCCGATAGGCTGCCTTTGAAGAGCTCCACTCTACTCTCTGCCTGTGATTGGTATTGGTCCCGCCCTGCTCACTGATTGGCTGGTCCTCCAGGAAGCGCACGTTGTGGAGCGCCTCTCCCTGTTTGGCACGCAAATTCTGCAGCCAGAAGCGGATGATGCTCTGGCGTTCCTGCGAGGAAGAGGGCGTGAGCTCAGGGAATTCATAGATACAGGATGCTTGCGGGGGCCCAGGGCCGGCCTCACCTGGGAGGTGAAGAAGCGCAGCTCGCTCTCCACATTCTCATAGATAAAGTCCTCCTCGCAGGAGAAGCCGCGGGTGCCCCCGCCAAATTCGGCCTTCACTGCCTTGCGCAGACCCAGCTCGTCGGCCCCTCGGAGTAGGCTGTGAAGAAGGCGGAGGAGGTGGGCTCACAAGGAGGCCCCGACCCACCATCCTGGACCTGAGGATGGTGCATCCGGCAGCCTTTGGGGCAAACGCAGGGCGGCTGGATAGCATGGTTGGCACTTGGTAGAGCGGGGAGCCGGGTGGCAGGCTCAGCGAGAGGCCGGGGACAGGGGACTCGCCTCTCATACGTGGCGGTGACAAAGAAGGCGTAGGCACGCGTGTGGCGGTGGTGGCGGACTTGCACGATGAGCTCGGGGATGCCCACGCGGATGTGGTTCAGCAGCCATAGCAGCGTGTGGTCATCGGTTGTGTCTGCCAAGGGGCACAGGGACCGATGGCTCTTGCCACGAGGGGGCCCAAGGCCTACATATTCCCGCTCTGGGAAGCTGAGCTCAGGAGAGCCGCATCTGGGCACTGGGCGGGCGGGCGGGCGTGGGTACCTGGGAAGGTCATCAGCACGTCGCAGTTCTCTGTAGGCACCGTCTTCATCCACGCCTTGTGGGACACCAGGTAGCGACCCGCCTGCAGGAGCCGCTTCCCGAAAAGCTTATCTGGGGGACGGCGTAGCAGGCCCGGGTCAGGCCACTATGGGATCGAGACCCCAGCCTCCAGTCTGGGTCCCTCTGGTCCCCGCCAGGGCTCCTCACCACTCGGCCTGGCATCCAAGGCCCCAGGAGCTCTGGTCTTGGCTTATTTTCCTCCCTCCATGTCCTTACACCAGCCAGGCCTTCCTCCAGAAATGCCCTTCCCCCCAGGTCCTCCCTTACAAATCTTACTCATTCTTGAGGCCCAGCTCCGCCTCCAAAACCACAATCGATGGGGTGCTCACTAGCAGCCCTGAGCGCTTCACCACATTATGACAGCGCCGTCCTTGCAGCAGCCCCAGGAACTGGGTGCGGTTCTTACCCCCATTTCACAGGTGAGGAAACTGAGGCCCACAGTTTAAGTCACGCGCCCAAGGTCACACAGTCGAGCTGGGATTTGAACCCAGGACCGTATGATTCTCTATTCTTCGCGGAGAGTCTCTCTCAAGCGCATCCCTGCCCCGCCGCGATCCCACAGCCCCCCGGTGGCGGGGCGCAGCCCAAGGCTGGGGCTTTCGGAGGGGCGTGTCCGCATCTCCGCTCCGGGACCCCAGCCCGATGCACCGTCCCAGCCCCGCCCGCCGGGCCGCAGCCGCATTGCCGGGAGGAGCCGGCCCCTCATCCAGACACCACGCCAGGGACGTTTGACCTCGATCCTCCTCCCCGTTCAGTCGACGCGGGCTCCCCAGGCACCTGCAACCCTGTCTGGTCCAGCCGCCACACACATACCCAGAACTCCGGACGCCGGGGCTGCAGGCTCGCCCTCCGGCGGGGGCCTCTTGCCACGCTCGCCCTCCAGGGACGTGCTCCCGGCGCCGGAGGCGGCCTCGGCCATGGCGAGGATAGGTCAGGTCAGGGGCTACGGACGGCCCGGGCGCCTGGGGGCCGCGGGCTCATGGGGCGGGTGTCGCCGCCGAGCGCGCGGGAGGAGGAGACAAAGGCCGCGCCCGCCCGCGCCGGCAGCCTTCCTCGCTCGCGCGAGCGCTGCTTCTCGTCCCCGCCCGAGCCAAACCTCGATTCTCCTGCCGCGTGCGTCACTCTCGGGTTCTCAGCTGAGTTCGCCCGCCTAGCTCTTTGGTTCTCGTCTCCGCCCGTGTTGTTTTCTGGGTTTCGTTCTCGCCCGCCTACGTCGCTCTCTGCTGCTGGTCCCCGCCCTCACTGATTGTGTATTCTCCAATTCGTCCCCACCCATGCTTCCTTCTGGTCCCAGCCTCGGAGCCTCAGTTTCCCCATCTACAAACTCCGGACCCTGGAGACGCGGTTTGGAATGTGAGATGGGCGTGATTTGACTAAGAGAGGACGTGGGAAGGGCGGGCCTGATTGGGGAAGATTCCTGGTGTCAATAACTTCAACTACCCCAGTAGAGCTGTGATAGATAATTGTAACAAGCCCTGCCTTAGGAGCTTTGCACGCATCACTTAGCAGCCTAGAACACTCCTCATACACTCTTCGTCCAGTTAACACCGACTTCCTTCCGGATGTAACCTCGGAGAGGATCCCGTTGAGTTGTCAAGCAAATAAAAATACAGTCCGCCTGGTTAAATGTAAATTTCAGATAAAAGAATAAGTGTTAGCCAGGTGTGGTGGCGGGGGCGCTACTCGGGAGGTTGAGGCAGGAAAATCGCTTGTGCTTAGGAGGTCGAGGCTGCAGTGAGCCCAGATTGCACCACTGCACTCCAGCCAGGGCGATAGAATGAGACCCTGCCTCAAATTCATACATACATAAATCTTTCTTTTTTTCTTTTTGAGACAGAGCCCCGCTCTGTTGCCAGGCACCAGACTGTAGCGCAGTGGCGCGACCTCTGCTCACTGCAACCTCCGCCTCCTGGGTTCAAGCGATTCTCCTGCCTCAGCCTCCTGAGTAGCTGGGACTACAGTGGCGCGCGCCACCACGCCCAGCTAATTTTTGTATTTTTTTTTTTTTTTTTAGTAAAGACGGAGTTTCACCTTGTTGGCAAGGACGATCTCTATCACTTGACCTTGTTATCTCCCGCCGTAGCCTCCCAAAGTGCTGGGATTACAGGCCTGAGCCACCGAGCCTGGCCCTCACATTATTCATTGTTTATTTGAAATTCACATTTAGCTGGGTGACCTGCGTTTTATCTGGCATTCGGCCAACCCCTGACCATCCTGAGTAGCCCGGTCTGTTAGATTGAAAGAAAGCCTACGGCGGGTAGCGGCCAGGGGCCAGGTCTGGTTCTCAGTGCGAGCACACAATAGGCACTTGCTGTATACTTGTTACAGATGAAACAACTAGAGAACGGCAGATGGAATATGTCATCGTTTGTTCCTATTTTACAGCTTAAAATATTAAAGCCTCGGCCGGGTGCTGTGGCTCTCACGCCTGTAATCCCAGCACGTTGGGAGGCTGAGGTGAGTGAATCACCTGAGATCAGGAGTTTGAGACAAGCCTGGCCAACGTGGAGAAACCCTGTCTTTACTAAAAGTATAAAAAATTAGGCAAGCATGCTGGCACACGCCTGTAATCCCAGCTACTAGGGAGGCTGAGGCAGGAGAATCTCTTGAACCCGGGAGGCGGAGGTTGCAAGAGCCGAGACCGTGCCACTGCACTCCAGCCTGGTGACAGAGCGAGACTCCGTCTCAAAAGAAAAAAAAAAGTGAGATTCCCATCTCTAACAAATATATATATATATATTTATGCACACAAAAAAATTAGCTGGGCGTGGTGGCTCAAGCCTGTGGTCCCAGCTATTCGGGAGGCTGAGACGGGCGGATCCCTTGAGCCCAAGAGTTGGAGATTGCGAGAGCCATGATCGCTCCTCTGCACTCCAACCTGGGCAACGGAGTGAGACTGTTTCAAAAATAAAATAAAATAATAAAGTAAATAAAAATATTGAGCAAGGCGAGGTAAGGGAGGGTTAGAACGCTATTCTGTCCGACAGATTTTTCTTAACACGCAAGTGCGCCGCCCGCCCGCTCTGATCCAGAACCAGAGAATCCGCCGTGCGAAAGCGCTCCCAGAGACCCCGCCCAACCAGTGCCTGGAATTCCACCATCAGCGCTTTATTCCGCGGTTCAGTGCTGTCCTGGGTTAACCCGAAAGCAATCTCCGAGGCTTCCCTTTCTAGCTTTCGGGGAGCCAGAGACTGACCGGACACTTGGCTCTGCAGGTGCAGACTGGGCCAGAGAGAGAGAGAGGGCCAAGCCAGTCCACAGTGGAGAGAGGGCTGTGGTGGGGGCTCCAGGAAGACTTCCTGGAGGAGGGGATCTTGGAGCTAGGCCTTGTAGATGAGTTTGTCAAATGAGGAAGGGCATCCGAATCCGAGGGAACGGCAAGAGGCAATGCTGGGGAGGGGCGAGAATCTGGAGAGTCCCGGGAAAAGCAAGTAGGAATCTTTCCAGAAGTTTGGGCAGGATTTTCCCTGGGCCAGGTCGTGGGTTCTCCAGTACTCATCCCTCCTGGTCACTGAGATGCTCTGAGCTTCCGGTCTGGACCTGGACGGAAAGAGGTGTAGTCCCTCCTTTCTTGAACGGGAAAACTAAGCTCACATAGGTCCTTGCCAAGCCTAAGGCTGCAGAGTGAGCAGATGGAAAATGCGGGACTCAAAACCTCACCTCGCTGTAATTTGCACCGCCCGGTGCCAAGCTCTGTCCTTTCTTCCATTCCTCGTTCCTATTGTCAGCCTCGCTGCGCTAGGACCCTAAAAATTCGGTCTCATGTTGCCCAGGGAACAGCATTTCGCTACACCCACCTCCATGGAGCCCCCGCCCTCTCTCTCTTGTGCCAGCCAATGGAAGCGAAGATCTTCAGACTGTGGGCGGGATGTATCCTAAGGCACCCAATGATGATCGAGAATCATTGAGCACTTTACTAGTGGTGCCGCGGAGTGGGCGGGGCGTCCTGCCCAGACTTGAAGCCACACAGGCGGGTCGGGCAGGCGGGGTCGCAGGTTGTAAATCCATGTGGCGGGGGCTTTGGACCCTGGCGGCCCAAGCGGCACGTGGGCCTCGCAGGTGGGGCTACGGAGGAAGGGTGTGACAGATTGGGGTGCTGCTTGGACCCCAAATCCACTCCGTGGGTTTTAGGGGCCCAATTCCCTGCGGCAGAGGACTCATTCTCGTTCTTCCCTGCCTAAATCGTCCATCCCCCTGCCGCAGAGCCCACATCTGGCCTCAGAGTCCCTAATCCGGTCACCCTTCGGCCTTCAGAACCCCCAATTTGTGCATCCCCCAGCTGCAGTACCCCCCTCCCCAACCTGAGGCATCTCGCGATCATTGAGCCCTTGGTCTACTTGACACTGAGGCTGAGGCTCCCAGATGCGCTGATTCGCCTCCCCTCCGGTTCCAGACTGTGTACGCGCAGGAGCAGCAGCGCACTAGCCCCCGGCTCTGGAGCCACCATCTTCGCGCTAAGCTCCGGCCAAGGCCGCTGCGGCGTCGCTGTGATCCGGACCAGCGGCCCCGCCAGCGGCCAAGCCCTTCGGATTCTCACGGCACCCCGAGACCTGCCCCCGGCTCGCCACGCCAGCCTGCGCTTGCTCAGCGACCCCCGCTCTGGGGAGCCTCTGGACCGCGCACTGGTGCTCTGGTTCCCAGGTGAGGGTCCCCAGGTTCCGAGCCTCCTGTAGATCCGATCACCCAGTTTCCCTCTTCAAGGAGTTTGCACTGCCTGTACTGTCCTCCTGACTGTCAGCTCTCTGCCACATTAGGTCCTAAGAGTTTCACCGGTGAGGACTGCGTGGAGTTCCACGTGCATGGAGGCCCGGCAGTGGTGAGCGGTGTCCTGCAGGCCTTGGGTGAGTTGCAGCCTTGGGTGAGATGCTTGGTCCTCCCAATGGGCCTGTGTGGGGACCGGGGGGGGAGGTCTCAGACTGGGACCTTTCTGCAGGCAGCGTGCCAGGGCTTCGACCGGCGGAGGCTGGCGAGTTCACAAGGCGGGCGTTCGCCCATGGGAAGCTGAACCTGACCGAAGTGGAGGGCCTGGCAGATCTGATCCACGCAGAAACCGAGGCGCAGCGGCGGCAGGCCCTGAGGCAGCTGGACGGGGAGTTGGGCCACCTCTGCCGTGGTTGGGCCGAGACCCTCACCAAAGCAAGTACCCCATTTTTCCATTCCCTCCCTCCGAGACCCCGTCTGTGCAACCCCTGCATGAGACTCCCTCAATCCCCCATTCATTCCCTTCGTGCAAGCTTCGGCCTATGAGCCGACAATCTGGTCCCTGAAGTCAGGCTGGACCTGGACAAATTGGGTGTTGGACGATGGGTTTCTGGGTGCACACACCACCTGTGGTCTCCCTGCCCAGCCAGGCTCTGGCCCACGTGGAGGCCTATATCGATTTCGGCGAGGATGACAACCTGGAAGAAGGTGTCCTGGAGCAAGGTGGGTACCTGGGGGTGGGGAAGGAAGACGCCTCGTGTTTCACACCCAAAGTCTCCCCTCACCGTCTTCCTTCTGCCTGCCTTCCCTCACCCACAGCGGACATCGAAGTACGGGCACTGCAGGTGGCCCTGGGTGCACATCTACGAGATGCCAGGCGCGGGCAGAGGCTGCGCTCAGGGGCGCACGTAGTGGTCACTGGACCCCCCAATGCCGGGAAGAGCAGCCTAGTGAACCTGCTCAGTGAGTAGGAGGTGGACAGGGGCGGGGCCTAGTGCCAGGGGTGGGGCCAAGAGCGGAGTAATTGAATTCTTCAGGTCTGAAGCGGGGTAGAACCTGGGGGAGGAGCTCCCTTGTCTCGACCCTTTCCTCTTCCTCTGACCCTCTCCCAGGTCGGAAACCTGTGTCCATCGTATCCCCGGAGCCAGGGACCACCCGTGACGTACTGGAGACCCCAGTCGACCTGGCTGGATTTCCTGTGCTGCTGAGCGACACTGCTGGGTTGCGGGAGGGCGTGGGTCCGGTGGAGCAGGAGGGTGTGCGGCGTGCCCGGGAGAGGTGGGCAGGCAGGGTGTTGATGGGAGGGGAATGCGGGGCCTTTCCTCTGCCTTTTCTGCCTGTTGCGTTTATTTTTTCATTCTTCCTGAATCAGAGAAGCTGCTAAACTCCTGCAAGCAGGGATCTCAGTGATTTGGTTTTTTCTTTTCTTTTTTTTTTTTTCTGAGACAGAGTCTTGCTCTGTGGCCCAGGCTGGAGTGCAGTGGCACAAGCTTAGCTCACTGGAAGCTCAGTCTCCCGGGTTCAAGAAATTCTCACGCCTCAGCCTTCCAAGTAGCTGGGATAACAGGAGCGAGCCACCATGCCCAGCTATTTTTTTTTTTTTTTTTTTGTATTGTTAGTAGAGACAGGGTTTCACCATGTGGGCCAGGTTGGTCTCCAACGCCTGACCTCGTGATCCGTCCGCTTCGGCCTTCCAAAGTGCTAGGATTACAGGCGTGAGCCAACGCGCCCGGCCTTTTTTTTTTTTTTTTTTTGAGGGGGTTTCCGCTCTTTTTTTCCAGGCTGGAGTGCAGTGGTACGATCTCGTCTCACTGCAACCTCCGCCTCCTGGTTCAAGTGATTCTCCTGCCTCAGCCTCCCAAGTATCTGGGATTACAGGTGCCCACCACAATGCCAGGTTAGTTTTTTTGTATTTTTAGTAGAGACAGGTTTCACCATGTTAGCCAGACTGGTGTGTAACTCCTGACCTCAGGTGATCCACCTGCCTCGTCTTCCCAAAGTGCTGGGATTACAGGCGTGAGCCACCGCACCTGACCAGTGATTTGGTTGTGATTAAGTCCTGCCCCTGGCCCTCCTCCCATGCTGGGCCTCATCCCTAAGCTCTCCGCCCACCCCACTCGTTCCGCCCCGCCCCGCCCCCTCGTGCTCTGTCCCGCCCTGGCACGACACTCTGTCCCTAGCAGTCTACCTCATCCCCTGTGCTCTGCCCACCCCCTGCACTCTGCCCGCCCCTAGTGCTCTCCCCTGTCCCTGTGTGTCCGGCCCCTCTCGCTCTGCCCCGCCCCTCACGGTCGCCCCACTCCCAGTGCTATACCCAGCCCCTTGTGCTGTGCTCAGCCCCTGGCACTCTGCCCCGCCCCCTGTACTGTGCCCCGCCCCTCTTGCTCTGCCCCAACCCCTGTGTTGTGCCCTGGCCTATTTGCTATGCTCCTCCGTCTGCCCTGTGCTGTGCCCCGCTTATTTTGCTCTGCCCCGCCCCTCTGCTGTGCCCCACCCCTCTAGTTCTGCCCCAACCCCTGCGCTGTGTGGTCCACTCATCTTGCTCTGTCCCCCACCTGCACTGTGCCCCGCCCCTCTTTCTTTGCTCCACCCCCTGCACTG